AATCTCAATTTAAAGTATTTACTTTTTCTTATTCAGTTGCAAACGACAAAAAATACTAACGCGACACGACGAGTAACATTAATCTAACATGCTTTCTGTTTATTCTATATATTCTGTTTATTCTATATATATATACTAATCTTTAGCTCACTGGAATCTTATTGACAAAATAAAATTTGTAAAAAAATAATCATGCATTATATTTTATATTACCGAAATATAATATTTTTATTATATATAAACTAAATTCACTCAACTAAATTTTAAATTGATAAAAAAACAAACTAAAACTGCATCTTTTTTCTAAAACACTTGCTAAATAACATTTTTATTTATAGAAGTAAAATGTTTATATTTTTAGAAAGGATTTAACAAATCAACAATCTTTTGTCTCGTTTTAATTGAACTAATTTATTAACCTTTATTCATTTCAATTTCATTGGTGATCGCCATGTTGGTTAGTCTTTCTTTTGTGTTCTATTGTGTTTTTTTTAAATAAATAACAAAAAAAACTTAAAAAACTTTAATTGAAAAACTAAATAAATATAAATGACCAAGTTTTCCCGTTCTCCCGGATTTAGGTGGCTTTTTATTGCGAAAAAATAACATTTAGAAACCACATAACAAATTTTACGTCAGTGTTTTTTTTTGGATATATAGTCCCCTAAAAATTTTTTAACCGCAGAATTTTTTCATTCCAGATTTTTTCTAACGATTTTAGAATGAATTGATTTTGGGCCACCCGCTTCTTGAAGAAGTAAAAAATTTTAACGTTAATTTTTAAATTAACAATTATGCAATTTAACAATTAATTAAATTAAGCGATTTAACAATTAATTAGGTGCAAGTATTAAAAATTTAGCAACAAAGTTGGGTTTTATACAATATATTGTCAAATTTTTACAGTTTAAAGTAGGTTATATTTTTTTATACTAAAATAATCAAAGAAAAAATCCTTTTTAAAAAAAAAAAGATCAAAGTTTTACTTTCAGAATAAAAAAAAAGTTAAAAACTGGATATTTGCCTTTCATGTTATTGGCGAAAAAACCATTGTAACATTGAAAAAAAATAAAAAATTGTAAAAATAAATTAAACTGTAAGTTTTGATGGAATCAAAATTTGATAAATTGAGCTAGTATTCATGAACAAATTTTATTTTTTAATTTTAACAATTCTTTTTAAATTTGTAATTTAATTTATTAGATACTATTAAAACTATTAAAAAATCTTTTAAGGGGTTGTCCATTAATTACGTCAACAAAATAGGGGGAGGGGTCTAAACTTTTATAACAATTGTTGACAAGGGGGAGGGGGGAGGTCAATTAAAGTTGATTTAGTTTAGTAAGTTGAACAAGTCGAAATCCGCCATCATTAAAACGTTGAAAGGTATTAGCATTCCTATTCCAATACTAATTGTGTACTTTAACGCTCGTGAAAAAAAAGAGATTTTGTGTTGTAAGACTACCTAGATGTCATAGCCGCCGAGAGGAATGGGGGGGGGGGGGGCAAAAGAGACAGCTTGTCCCAGGCGGCAGATATTCAAGGGGCACCAAATGAAAAGAAGGTACCTAAAAAATAAAAAAAAAATAAATTATGGTCCTTCATCTATAATATATGGAAATTTTGATAAATAAGGGAGCCAATCAGGGTTGTTGTCCCAGGTGGTGTGGCGGTTCTCGGCGGCCCTGCTAGATGTACACATTAAGCCACTGCCAGCAGCAAGATTTAATAAGAGTCACCCTAGGATTTGTTCTTATACTATAAAAATATAGACTTAAAAAAAAATAAACGTGCAAAAGTTCATAATCATTTAGGGATATCAATTTAAGTAAATTTGTGATCACATAATTTGAGGGGCGTTATAATTTATAATAACGAAACATAGTAAAAAGTTATTATTAGAATAACAAATTTCATATTTTTCATATTTTTCGGTAATTTTTGTTTTAACTGGGTTGTCGTTTTTTTATACCTTTTGTTTTACACTAGAAATAATGTCTTATATGAACAAACAATTATTATACATAACTTATGTACTTAGTACTTTTTCAATAACTTGTTAGCTTTAAAAAATAAATGTATTTGCAGTTTATTTGTTTACACTTTTGATTGATGCAAAAGTTATTATTTATTTAAAAAAATAAAATTTTCCTGTTGTATTAATAAATTTCAAATGTATATATATATATATATATATATATATATATATATATATATATATATATATATATATATATATATATATATATA